CCGTGAGATTAAACACTAGGGGATAATAAAGTTCGGGGTTCAGGGAGAGATAATAAAAGTAGCCCAGCAGACCTCAGCATAATCTCGAAGTAAGAGATGATCAAGAGGAGACCAAGCCGAGCACGTTTTGAGACATCCTTGGCGTTTAGTTTTCATAGAAATATCATCAACAATGGCTTATCTCTCATGATTTTTTTTTGTACGTGCTCGTGTAGGGTAGCTCATGTGCCTCAATTTCCATGGATAATCAACCCCAGAGATAAAAAAGTTCAGGCGAGCGTGGGGACAGAGAGAAATATAAAAGAAGAAGAATACAGTAGAAGAATAATAAGAAAGAAGAAGAAGAGGATAATAAGAAGAGGACGAAGGAAGGAAAAATCCAAAGTTCCAAATCTATCAATTTTAATTTACAAGCGCTTTATGAACATTGTTTTTTAAGTGCTCGTGTAGGGTAGCTCATGTGCTTCATTTTCCATGGACAATCAACCCCAGGGATAAAAAAGTTCAGGCGAGCGTGAGGACAGATAGAAATATTAAAGAAGAAGAGGAAAGTATAATAATAATAAGAACATTGCTCGTTTCGTTTGAGTCTGCCTCCCCAAATTATTGGTTTCGCTTGACAGATCCTGAAAAAGTGTGATCGCTTCGCTTGATGTTGCTATATCAACATCGCTTGATGTTGCTATCTCAACATCGCGCTTCGAGGTGATAATGAAGTTCGGCCTCAGCGCTCGCCGCCCAATTTGAATTTTGTATAGGGCGACGATAATCAACTCTAAACACTGAAGGGGGGGGTCCCTTTATTATCATCGGCATGCGGTTAATGATAAGTACCGCCTCCCCCGGCCTCGGGTCTCACACCTCCCCGGAACATCTCGGGAACGCTCCCGGCACCGCTCCCCCGGCTTTTCCGAGGAGCCTCCACAGCGCCCCAAGAGGGCCCAAGACGCCGCCCAGGGAGCCCTCCAGAATGCGAAATGATGGCCCAAAACGCTCCCAAGCAGCCCAAGTCAGCCTTCCGACGGCTCTCGAGGCTCCCAGGTGGCCTCCCAAAGACCCCAAGAGAGGTCCGAGAGGCGTCCCGGGTCGGCGCGCAGAGGCCCGAATCGTCGATTTCCATTGTTGTTTTTGAACGTTTGGCTTTTCGCGTTTTCGAACTTCCAACGCTCCAAGAACGCTGAAGAGTCGCCCAAGACCGCCCCAAGACCACCCAAGAGACCCTCAGGACGGCCCCAAGACGGGCCAAGAAGGCTCCAAGACTGCCGAAGAGGCGCCCAGGACAACCCCAGACCACCCCAGAACAGGCCCAAGATGGGCCCCCCAGAGGGCCCCAACACACCACCGATCCCTGAGAGGCCCCGAATAGACCCCGACGAGGCTCCAAGAACAGCCCAAGAGAGCTGCGAGATCCGTCCCGAGAGAACCCAAAGAGGGTAAAATCGTTGATTCCCAATGGATTTTGGATTTTCTAATGTTCTTCGCCTTCTCACGTTTTCCCGCCTCCAACCCTTGAATATCGAGGATTTTGGAAGGAACCACAAAAAATGCAATAACTCCTTTTTGTTCGCACTGGACTCCTACTCGGAGGTCCCACACATCCCCTGACATCTGGCCGGTACCGCGCTTCCCGGCTTCCCGGGGGGCCCCCAAGACGCCCAAGGACAGCCCAAGACGACCCCAAGGAGCCCCCAGAACGTAAAGAACGACCCTACACGCTCCCGCGCAGCCCGAGACACCCTTCCGACGGCTCTCCAGGCCTCCTGGAGGCCTCCAGAAGCCCCAGGGGGCCCAGAAGATCCCACACCCCTGAGGGGCCCGGCTTACAAAACCCGCGAAGCACAAACAGAAAACAGCGCCGAACAGCGCCGAGGAACTGGGAAAACATTGAAATCGCACAATTCATTTTTTTTCCAAGTTTGGCCCCCGGTCTACTCTTGCACAACAAACCACAATTCAGACCCCCCCCACCTCCCCCCAAAAAACCCAAGGAGCCTTTGAGGGCCCCAAATCGCTGAATACCTAAAAGGAAAATAATGATATCTGCGTTTCCGCACTTCCCCGTTCATACGATTCCGAAGCTTGCGCAGGGCCTCCAAGGGAGCCCATGGACGTAAGAAGTGACAAAACAGATTACATGAGTTAGCCGATCAAGCCTAGCTAGACAGTGAACGAGCGCGATGGTTCTACTCACATATATATAAATATATGTATAGATGGTACAGTGTGTGTGGTGCACTCTCTGTGGTGTGTGTTCTGTGGTGCAGTCTACGTGGCGCAATTCGCCCTGCCGAATTTGGCGCGGTCGAATCCACTGCTCGCGCAATCCTCTGACCCACCCACCCACCCAACCACCCACCCACAACTTCGTTTAAAAAACCCACGCGGCGATCGCAGAGCGGCCAGCTAGTCTGGCCGCGGTGGCGCTGACCGCTGGGGACTCCCCAGGGCTTTTCGCAAGACGCGCTGACGGGCAGGTGCCTCACTGCGAGTCGGCAATTCGGGCGGGCGCGGTATCGCGGCGACGACAGCGGCAAACGCGATGATGAGAATAGCAAAGCTGGCGACGATGATGACAATGGCGACGGCACGGCCAATTATTTCGACATGCGCCTGCGGCCAACGCCCGCGAATGGCCCGCATGTTTTCCTTTGGCAAGGATCGCGCCCCCCCGAGCACGCGCGCTAGAGCGTTCGAATGATTGCGACACGCGGGGACGAAAAGATCGCTGGGTCGCAACTGGTGCACATGTTGGAAAAAGCTTGGCCCCCATGGGAATTCGCAAGAGCGCGCGCAATTTTGTTGAACTATTACGTTGCGAAACCAATGTTTGTTTATGTGTGCCATGTGTGTGTCGGGTTTTGACATATTTACGGCGCCAGCAGGCTTTGAAATATCTAGGCATGCGCGCGCGACGACGAGCGCGCGTGCACTTCGTCAAGCGTTCGCAAAGAAATCTTGCAAAGTGATAAATGTTGGTGAAGAAATGTGTGCGCATGGTGCTAAAATGGGGATGTCGATTTCAGCCTGGCTACGATGGCGCGCGCTCTAAATTGCATGACTCCAAATTAACGGGTAAATCCGGTTTCGGGCCGGAGGTGGGTCCGAAGACGTTGCTCGGCTGGAGATCTCTATGTGGTGCATGCAATGAATGTGATGTAATCTGTGTGGTGCAATCTGTGTTGTGCAATATACGTGGTGCAATCCATTTGGTTAATTTACGTGATGCAGCATATGTGGTACAATAAATGTGGTCCTCTCTATGTGGTGTACACTACATGGTAGCTCCAGCATGGTGCAATGTCTGTGGTGCAACCGACGCGGTGCACTCTATGTGGTGTGAGCCAGATGGTGTGAGCTATGTGGTGCAAGCTGCGCGGTGCAACCCGTGCAGTGAGAACGGTTATGCGTGAGCAATGCGATGTAAGCTACGTGGCGCAACATATGAAAGTATGAACTCTGTGTTGCAACATACGAAGCGAAATCCGTGTTGTGCAGTGAATGTAATGTAGTCTACATGATGTAATCGATGTGGAGCACTGTACGTGATGCAAGATATGTGGTGCAATTACCTGCTGCCCACAATGAGTTGTCAATTCCACTGCTCGCGCAATCGTCCCACCAACCCACCCACATTTTCATTTCCCAATTCCCTGCGGCGGCTACTGCGATGACTGATTGGCGCTGACTGACGCATCGCTGCGGCCGCGCTGACGCGCGCAAGCTCGCGCACAGAGCTGCCAGCTAGTCTGGCGCGACCGACGCGGCCACGGTGGCGCTGACCGCTGGGGCATCCCGAACGCGTCTCGCAGGATGCGCTGGCGCGCAGGTACTTCAGTGCGAGTCGGTGACTCGGGAGGGCGCGGTATCGTGGCCACGATGTAGACGGCGGCAGACGCGATGATGCTAGCGCTATGCTGGTGACGATAATGACGATGACAGCGGCATGGCCAATGACGTCGCCGATGCAGACCACGCCTATGACAATGATGGTGTCCACGTGTCGGTGATGAAGGTTTTGGAACGAATTCGGCATGCGCGCGCGGGCGGTGTGCGCGAATTGTCCGCATAGTACTACGTGACAGGAATCGTGCCCCCGACAAAGCGCGAATGCTTTCGAATGATTCCGACACGCGCGCGGGAGAGGCCCGCTTGGTCAACCGATGAACATCTTGAAAGGCCTATGGTGCTCACAAATCTATGCGAATGCGCGCAGACGTTTCCTTTTGAAAGCCGTGTTGCAAAACTATGTGCCGAGTTGGGAAGTTGTCGGGGAACTCAGTTCGAAAATCCTTGCGATAAAACAAAGCTCAAACAAAACTTCGCAATGCGTGCGCGACGGCACGCGTCTGTGGCCTTTTGTCATATTTGTTGCAACGGGTTCTTGACAAATGACAGGCTGTGTTTATTAAACAGGTACGCGCGCATACTATTATTTGCAAGGATGAGGGGCGCGGAAGCTACGGGTTTCAGCAGGGATGGTACGAGCTCGAATTTAAGATGAACGATGGGGCAGGATCATGATCCCATGAGTGCAAACACTTTTGGGGAGGCTGTAAAAATAGTTGCACGTATGTATGTGTATGTATGTATGTATGTATGTATGTATGTATGTATGTATGTATGTATGTATGTATGTATGTATATATGTATGTATGTATGTTTGTATGTATGTATGTATGTCGGTATGCATGCATGTATGTATGCATGTATGTGTGTACGTATGTACATGTATGTATAACCATACTTGGCGATGGCACAGCTGGTCACATATGGTAAGAAGACGGACAAGGAGTACCATGACATAGGGAAAGGGTGAGGTAGAGAGAGAAGGGGGGTAGACAGAGGGAGCCAGGCGATACCAAACCTGGTGTGGCCACACACAGGGGGAAGGGAAGAGAGAGAGAGAGGGAGGGAGAGACAGAGAGAGCCAAGCACTAACGAGAGAGAGAGAGAGAGAGGAAGGGGAGAGAAGAGAAGGGCCGCCGCAGGCGCGCAAACGCCTCCCGACGGCGTCAAGCATCCTCGCTTGCTTCGTCTCGCGCGTGAACGAGGCCACGCCCAGCCCGAGCGCGAGCACAATGGGCACGGTGGCAGGGCCTGCGCGGCCGCGGAGAGCCCAGACCTCGGACGCTTCGGTGCTGCACGTCCCGGGGCCCCCTGTCTGCGAGGTGCCGCGGGTGCGTGCGCAGACGTATGTTGGTGACTACCTACCAGACCACCCCCAACCCAACCCGAAGACCCGAACTTGACCCGAATTTCGGGTTGGGGGGGGGGGTACGGATCCCAGGTGTTTTGTCAATGTTCCCCGACCCCCCCCCCCCACTGGAAATGGAGGGCAAACTGAGGCCTTCGGGTTGGGTTGGGGTGTGTTGGTGGGTGGTGAGTTAGAGCCTGCCACGACTGTGTCTCAATGTCTCTCTCGTCTGGTCTTTCTCTCCTATCGCATGCACCTCGTTATTCCTCGTCTCTTCTGCTCCTTCTCACTAGTGACCCTTTTTCTGCTCCTGCTCGTCGTCCTTCTCCCCTCATTACCCTCCTCCTCTTCTGCTGCTTCCGCGCCTCCTCTCCCTGCTCTTCCGAATGTCCCTGCTGCTGCTGCGCACTTCCCCTCCTCCCTTCCTTTGCCTCCTCGTCCTCATCGTTTTCCACGTCGCCGTCGCAATCACAACAGGAGCTCTAGCCGAGCAGAACTCACTACAGTAAATCTACGAGTGAATACAGCTCAAAGTCGGCCTGAGAAGGGAAAACAAAAACAGAGAGGGAGAGAGAGAGAGGGATGAAGAAGGCCAGACTGCCTTTTTCGGGGAGAGTCGAGCCAAGGCCCTCCAGCTCCTTTACCTCCCCCGTACCTAGTCCACCCTCTTCCTGAGGTGGGAGCAGCCGGGACGAGCTCCTCCCTTATACCCAGGCCCGGGCAGGTCAGGCCTGACCAGACTTGCAAGGGAGAATCCTGAGCATTGCCCTGCTCACACTCTGACGTGCATACAGGAGGAATCAACCCTCAACAGCAGCTTGCAACATATTGCCAGGAACTGACATGTCTGGACCTCGTCGTCGACGTCCTCCTACTCCAAATCCAACTCCTCCTCCTCCTCCTCCTCCTCCTCCTCCTCCTCCTTCTACTCCCTCGCTCCCTTACCCTCCTCATCCCGTGCCTGTAGTCACCGCGCCACAGTCCCACGTCATGCCGACGATGCTGGAGATCTCCTCGCCAGCGCTGGCCGAGGTTCAGAGGAGGCCGAGGAGCACGAATACGTACCCTTGGGACTGTTACCCGCCTCTGTGATCGTACAACACCTGACCACTGCATGGTCTCAACACCAAAAACACCACGCATGACACATTCTTGCTCCGGGGAGCCGCAAGTCCTCCGCAACGATCGGCACCCTCGGGAGTTCGACGGAATCCGTCTCAGAGGAGAATATTAACATTTCGAGCGGAACCGCGAATGATCGATGATGAATGGGGGGGGGGGGGGGGGGGGGGGGGGGGCAGAAACCACTTTCTCATCGGGTGGTGGGGTGGTGGTGGATGGGTGGGGACGGTGGGTAGGGGGGGGGGGGGGGGGGCGACGCTCCCAGTGGATGAGGAGCACGCGGGGAGGGGATGCGGCGTGCCCCCCAGCAGGTGGGGCCCGAGGGACAGTTCCCTGCGAGGGGTTCCTTGTCTGCCCCCCCCCCTCCTCTATGCCCTTTGTCCCTTCCCCCTGCCAACATCACGAAACATCCAGAGAGGGAACGGCAACCTCCAGCGGTTGGCGGGGCGCGGGAAGGGAACAGCAGTTCTAGAAACGATTATACACGCGGAACTACGTCACCCATGTCGCATGACCTCGAACGCGACAGCACGGCCGCATGGTCCTCGCAGAGGCAGCGGTCTGCAATTGACCGCCTTTGGAGGCCAATTGCAGACCGCTGCCTTCTCGCAAACCTCGGATACTGCCTCGCTTTTCCCCACATCCTAAGTGGGGTTCTTGTTTTCTCTGCACACCCTCCGCGCAGGATCTCCTCCTCCTCCTCCTCCTCCTCCTCCTCCTCCTCCTCCTCCCTCTCCTCTGCTCTTCTTTGCTTCCTCCTCCGCATCATCATAACCATCACCATCACTCCCCACTCATCATCGTCATCATCATCATCATCATCATCATCATCAGCATCATCACCATCAGCATCACCATCGCACGATCACTCACCATCATCGGCATCGAACGATCATCATCATCATCATCATCATCATCATCATCATCATCATCATCATCATCATCATCATCATCATCATCATCATCATCATCACTGCTCGCTGACTTGAGGCCTGAATATGGAGGAAGTATCAGGCGGGAGCCTCGTCTGTGAGTGGATTGTGAGGAAGTTTCAGGCGGGAGCCCCCTCCCTATGGGGCCCGCACTTCATGTTCGAATCCGAGCGGGTCATCCGAAACGCGCAACTGTACTCACTTTTGGACTCCTCAGACCTGAATATGGAGGAAGTCTCGAGCGGGAGCCTCGTCTGTGAGTGAATTGTGAGGAAGTCTCAGGCGGGAGCCCAATCCCTATGGGGCCCGCACTTCATGTTCAAATCCGAGCGGGTCATCCGAAACGTGCAACTGTCGTCACTTTTGGGCTCTTGAGACCTGAATATGGAGGAAGTCTTGAGCGGGAGCCTCGTCTGTGAGTGAGTTGTCAGGAAGTCTCAGGCGGGAGCCCCCCCCCCCTATGGGGCCCGCGCTTCATGTTCGAATCCGAGCGGGTCATCCGAAACGTGCAACTGTCGTCACTTTTGCGCTCTTGAGACTTGCATATGGAGGGAGTCTCGAACGGGAGCCTCGTCTGTGAGTGAATTGTGAGGAAGTCTCAGGCGGGAGCCCCCTCCCTGTGGGGCCCGCACTTCATGTTCGAATCCGAGCGGGTCATCCGAAACGTGCAATTGTCGTCACTTTTGGGCTCTTGAGACCTGCATATGGAGGGAGTCTCGAGCGGGAGCCTCGTCTGTGAGTGAATTGCAAGGAAGTCTCAAGCGGGAGCCCCCTCCCTATGGGGCCCGCACTTAATGTTCGAATCCGAGCGGGTCATCCGAAACGTGCAACTGTCGTCACTTTTGGTCTCTTGAGACCTGCATATGGAGGAAGTCTCGAGCGGGAGCCTTGTCTGTGAGTGAATTGTGAGGAAGTCTCAGGCGGGAGCCCCCTCCCTGTGGGGCCCGCACTTCATGTTCGAATCCGAGCGGGTCATCCGAAACGTGCAATTGTCGTCACTTTTGGGCTCTTGAGACCTGCATATGGAGGAAGTCTCGAGCGGGAGCCTCGTCTGTGAGTGAATTGTGAGGAAGTCTCAGGCGGGAGCCCCCTCCCTATGGGGCCCGCTTCCCGAGGCGCTGGCCGAGGCGGCGACGGCGCTGAGGAAAATGGATTTGCTTGCCCCGACGATAGGGAAGGGGAGGTGCACATGGAGGAAAGGCAGGGGGATGAGGAGGGAAGGGGCATGGGGGAGGCCGACGACGAGGAGGAGGTGGCGCGAGAGGAGGAGGAGGAGGAGGAGGAGGAGGAGGAGAAAGAGGAGGAGGAAGAGAGATAAAAGGGGGAAGAGAGGGCAGTGCAGGGGGCGAGAGGAGAGGGTATCCGCCAGGGGGAGGAGGAAAGGGCAAAGGGTAAGCTAAACATATTCTCATGTGGGGTCCTACCGTCGGAGTATTTTTTCTCTCCTCTCTCTCTCTTTTTCCCGCAAGCCCCAGGCGGAGCGGAGAACGAACATAAGGCTGGGGGCAATGGAACGGACTGCGCAGCATAAGTCCACTCCAGAAGCTGCTCGAAACAGAGGGAGGTCAAGTACCTCGGGCAACATTCCACCCTGCTCCGCACACATCTCCGCCGCCTCTTCTTTGAAGGGGTCTTGGGACATACAAATAAATAGATACAACTGACAGGATTCCCCACAAATTTCATATTTTTTCTGGGTTTTTATCTTCCCCCCCAACTTCCCACAGTTTCCTATATTTTCTGGGGAATCGACGAGTCATTGTGTCTGCGTGTTCCGTTCCCTCCTGACTCCAGGCGGCGGGCGGCCGCCTGGACTCGAGACTCGGTTGTCGGGGAGGGAGGAAGTCTGAGCTCGTACCCGGCTGGGCCCGCGCCCAGACTGAGGCCACCGGAAAAAAGCGTTGCCGTCGACCCGACCAGGGGGCCACATGCGAACCCTACCCCTACCCCCCACGATGTCTGAGGGGAAGGGTGGGGTTCACTTCGCTCGGGAGCTCCCGAAAGAAGTGAACCCCACCCTCCCCCTCGGAAATCGTGGGGGGTAGGGGTAGGTTTCGCATAAGGCCCCCTACCGACGGAACTCTCGCCCCAGCTGAGCTCGGAGCCGGCCGCATGCGGACCCGGCAGGTGTGGGGCCGGGCTGGACCCTGTGGCAACCGTCTGGGCCACCACCCACACAGGGGCTGCCCAAGGACTGCGCTGCTCGACCCCGCCCAGCCGAGCCTGGACACGGCCGAGCTCGAACCCGTCCGGGAGCTGCCCCGTGGGAGGAGGGAGGAGGGAGGAGGGAGGAGGAGGGAGGAGGAGGGAGGAGCAGGGAGGAGGGGGAGGGAGGAGGGAGGAGGGAGGAGGGAGGAGGGAGGAGGCCCCCGAGGGAACACGGCCCGACCCTGGGAGGGTGGGGCGGCAACGCGCGCACGGGGAGCTTCCTCCCGCTCGCCGGCACGCTGCAGGGCGCAGGCGATCCAGATGCGCAGACAGTGGCAGGGGCCACGGTGGCCCCCGCTGGTGTCTGCGCAGGTGGATCGCCAGTACCTGCGCAGTCTGTTCGGGCCTGGGGTGGCCCTGGGCCCGAACAATCTCTGTGCGCCCTCTTGGCTTAGGCCAGGAGCGCACATGCTCCGGTTCTTGGCTCCAGGCGCGCCTGGCCAGGATCGGCGCACGCGTAGTGGCTGGCGCCCCCCCATGACGCTGGGAGGCTTGGGATGCCTCAACTCCGGCGTCGTGTATCTTTCGCAACGTGCACCGCCAGAGGTCTGGACCACCTCCCCTGGACCAGTTCTCCATCCTGGACATTTCATTGAGGCCGCGGGGCCTGGTAGGCCCCCCCCAGAAGCAATTCCCGCGTAATCAGCTGCAGAAGGGGAGGGAAGGTGGAGAGGACCACAGAGCCGGAAAATTTGAGAAGCACCTTCCGGCGGACGAGGACAAGGACGAGGACCAGGAGGACGACGACGAGGAGGAGGACGACGACGATGACGAGCACCAATCCTGAACGTAAGCGCGCGGAACAAGCCGCGTCGGCTGCGACGTCGCCCGGGTTATGCCCAGCCCCGGCGCAAGATAACTGGGCGCGCGCGAGGGGAGCGGCCGAGGCTCCGGGTCGCGGCTGCAGTACAAGGTCAGGCACAGGAGGGGCAGGACGTTGCAGAAGATGAACGGCTTGATTCCCCACTCGCGCTTGATCCTCACCAGCCCGCAGGCCTCGGACGGATCTCGACACGCAGATGGGACGGACGTGGGTCTGGCGCGACACCTTCGCCGAACCGTAGGCCAACACGTGTCGAACCAACGCGCAGCGTGTTCAACCCGATCCAGGGCTGTGGAGGCGAATTCTTTTCTTGATCGGGGGGGCAACAGGGCGAATGACACGGGTTCAACAGGGGCGTTAAGTCGACTCTGCGGCGGACCTTGTCTAGCGCGTCGCGTCGCCATTCGCGTCGAATCCGCGTCGAAAGTCCGTCGAATCCGCACCGAATCCGCGTCGACTCCACGCCGAACCCGCGGCGGATACAAGAAAATGTCGCAATCTCTGGGCTCTGGGGCAGAGAGGGCTCTCGAAGGTGCTGTGCCAGGAACCTGGTCTAGGCAAGCGCGTTCCACTACAGTGCGGGCGCGGCCGCAAGAAAGCCTCGCAAGAAACCCAACCCTGAACACCCGCGCGCGAAGTGCACCGGAGGGGAAACCCGGAGCACCCTGAACGCAGCAGCTCCTTCGACGGCCGCGGGAAGTCGCCGCGCAGCGCGCGGAACGAAGAAACCCAGGATATCCTGACGAAAGTCATGTGGTTTCTTGAGGCGCGCCCCCACTGTACCTGCAAATGGCCCTTACCCGCCGCGGGGGATCCACGACCCACGACATCGAGGCTCACATGTTTTTTTTTGGTCCGACGTCTGCGCGCAGGCACGTCGCGAGTGGTGGAACGCGCCCTGTGGAGGTGCTGGAAGCGTCTCCCCG